GAGGAATATTTACTGTATGTCATATATCCCATTTAATCTTCCACCTCGTCTTCTATGTAAGCTTGTTCCAATCTTGATGTATCTACAGCTTCTTCCGCATCTTCATCTTCTTGAGTAATATCTGTTAGTTCAGTTTGTTCTTCTTCATCAAGAATTTCAGGCTCTTCTTTAACTTCAGCTTCTTCTTCTTCTTCTTCTTCTTCTTCTTCTTCCTTTTCCTTTTCTTCTTCCTCTTCACCTTCTTTTTCTTTTTCTTTTTCTTCTTCCTCTTCACCTTCTTTTTCCTCTTCTTTCTCTTCATCTTCCTCTTCATCTCTTTTTATTACTTTTTTATCTTCTACAATAATCTCTTCAATCTTTTCAGACACCACTTCCTCGATTAAATCCTTAACTTCTTCTTTCGGAATTGGTGGTTCAATCATTTCTTCCATTTGCACTTCCGCTTTGATAGTCGGTTCCTCCGTAATGACGGGTGGTACCTTTTCAAGTACCACGCTGGGTTTCTTTAGTACTCTCTCCTCTCTAACGCACTTCTTACGATGTATGGGGAAAAAGAGTTTATAGTCTTCCGATATTTCGTCCTCTGAATAAAGCCTAAAGAAAACATTTGTAACTCATTTAACTCTGAATTGGATTTAAATATTTTGAGAAAAATTCAAAGGAATCATTGTTTGCCAAAGAATTGTGTGTATTGTGGGTAAAATTATTTCATATAGTAATTTTTTAATAATTAATAATTTTTTTAATGTAGAATATAATAAAGAATTGTATCAATTCAACTTAATTTTTAATTTTTTTATTAATTAACTTAATTTTTTCACATAAATACTTTTTACGATACCAGTTTGATCAAATTTATCCGCTGACAGAGATCTTAAATTAATTAAAAAACAAATCAAATTAAATTATAATTCACCAATAATTAAATAATTTAATTTCTATACTTTAAAATTTAATTATTGTATAATTAGAAAATCAACTAATTTGCATATTAAATTTAATCATTAATTAATTAGAAAATCAACTGATTCGTGTAACTCCTTACCTATCAGCGAAATAAACTCGTCTGATTCTGCAATTAGCATGAATCTGCATTCTGGTGGTTTCGATGTAATTCGTGCCGTAGGCTCGTCGTGTGAAGTCGCACAGATTAAACTGAATCTGATTCCATCCACCTGAAAGCCCGATGGGCATGGACGTGCAAAATGGACGGACGCGTGTTGTGCTCTGGAAATTGCTCACGCGAAACCTCCTGTGCATATCTTTATCGTCCAGTATCTATTTAATACATACAAATCATTATTTATATATTCAAGAAAAAAAAAGTTTTATCTTTTATTTAAGTAAGTATAAATAAATTTTATTTAAGAAATAAAATAGAGAAAAAATCTTATTTAAGATAGAAAAAGTTTTATTTAGAAAGAAAATTGTATAGGAGCGCACTATTTGTTGAAAAAAAATAAGAATTCTTATTTAAACGAGAAATAGAAAGGTTCTCATGTTTGTGGAAAAAATGAGAAACCTCTTGTTAGAGAGAGAAAATTGAAAGCCTTGTTTAATATAATTACGTATTCACATGGGCTTAACTGTTATCTCGAACGTGAAATATTTCTTCATATTCTTGATGATGATGATAAGGAAAGGTAGCTTAATACCCAACGCTTTCTTTGGATCTGCTGGACAATAAATGTAGGTCGTAGCCACGTTAGTGCCGGCTATTTCTAACGCCAATGATTTTATCTCCTCATCTGTGATTCTTCGAATGTATCCATTTTTCACCTGAAAAATATTGAATGCATAAATCTATAAATACATGCGTTAATTATATATGTATATTATTTATAAAAACGTGTTGTAGAGATATAACATGGGTATTTAAAATTATTATTGTAGATAGCTACAAATGTATCTTCTAGTGATATCTTTTGTTCAAATTTTAGACAAATTAATAAAAAAGCTAACGTGCATGTCCCATAATTCCAGAGGAGCCGATCCGCAACTGTATAAGATGGACAAAAGTCCGCCCTGATAAGTATTTCGGAACATTACAAGAGACTTTGTTAGATCATCAGCAATTCAGAATCTTTTCAATTTGACAGATGTCAAATCAAATTCTTTCCTTTGTTTCTCGAATTTTCCCATTAACTGCCAACGTCTCTTTTAAAATTTTTATTGCAAATGAAATAATTTTAATAACAGTTAAAAAATTATTTTACACATTCATGTACTAGAACAATTAAAAGTATTCAATGGTTTTCTAACATATCTATTTAATCTAATAATAAGATCAATAAAAATTAAAAATAATTCAAAATTTTATATAATTAATATAATTTTTAATGGATTAAAAATATAAAATTTTTAATTTTCAAAATTTTCCTTACCGATGACAAAATTAATTAAAGGATTAGTGATATAACGATAACAGATAATTACAATAGATCAATATTTATTTCTGAATTAGAGGAAGCAATAAGAGATAAATGATATAATTGAGTACAACATATAAGATAATTTATTTTCGCTGAAATTGTACATAAAGGATTCTGTTAAGGATCTCGGACAAGTTCGTTCAGTTGACGTCTCTCCTTTTTCGTCAACGGATCCGGTACAATCAACATCTTCGGCGACATGCCGACGCTGAAGATGCGATCGATTCTCACACCGTCGAGAGCGAACATCTGGATCATGGCAAAGTGCGCGATCTCACGATTCAGTTGCCGAGATATCTGTCGCCTGAGCCTTTGCACACGATGTCTGCAGACCACGTGACTTTAAAAATAACGAAATGCGTGCAATTAGTTATCAATTATACACGCTGTAAAATTAAGCAGGTTCTATAAAAAGGAGTAGCTATTCTAAAATCTCGATAAAAAATTTTCCAAAACGTCTTCTTGATTTAATAAAATAAAAGTCAACATTTTATGCCGATGTAACTATATTTAATTCGCTATAATGCGCTTTCTTAATTCCGTATTTAATAAGCTTGCGTTTAATATGCTGAATAAATTAGCTCTCTTACTAAGGCAAGACTTTTAAATCGGTATAGCTGGGATGAATCGAAACGTCACTTCGATACAATTCCGGAAATAGCTTCATATGCTTCGTAAGGTACTTGCGATAGGCGGCAAATTTTCTTTCCTTCGTATCTTGGGGACCCCCAGGTATCTCCAAGTTCTCATCTTCCACAAACAAATCGTCTTCCTTATTCATTCTTGAAATCTGATGCTATAAATTTTTTCAGCTACTTTTCTTTTTTTAAATGCGATGAAAATCGATTTCACATCTTGATACACAAAATAGAAAATATCTTCGCGTACTTTTCGAGATTAATGGAAAGTTTTCGAGTTGATAGAAATTGCTTTAGACTCATTTGTCTCATTAAAATAATTGTTACTAATTTAACAGACAATTTTTAATATTTTTTTCTTTCACTATAGGAAAATTTTTCTAAAGTCACATCTTTTTTGTAAGATCGAAATTTTTCCTTTTTTTGGCGAAAATCGTTCTCAAGAGACAGCGGTATTTGGCAGGTTCGCTAAACGGGCGACAAACTCAATGATGCGATTCGAGGAAAGTTTGTCCGATTCGTAACGAAGTGAGCGCCTGTGCCTCGTACGGATATCGATTTGGTTTCTAGGTAAATCAATAAAGAGATTCGGCTTATTCTTATTCCGAGTAGTCCACGGAGCACTGAACTCTTCACGCAGACAATCAAGCAGCTCGTAAAATACCGGTCGAAAATAATCATCTAGTATGATTTGGTCAACTCTAGCTCTGAGGATTGACGAATCCGTGAAAAAAATAAAAACAATAACAAAAAATTCAAAAATTGCGATACTAAAATCTCTTAACAATTTTACAAATTATAATTTCTAAGATCCAAGGATTTATTTCATTATCAATCTTTTGCGAACTTCATACATCAAAAAGTTCAGAATCCAAAAGGCCAAGAAGTAATGTAGAAAATTAAAAAAAATTAAAGAATTCAAATTTGAATTCAAGTCTTAAGATTCCAGAGATTTAAACAATTTGAGGATTCTACCGCTAAAGAAATAAATAATAGTCTTTGTATTTAAAAAGTAATTTGATAAGTATCTAGAATACGAAGCAAAAAAAATTTTTAAACCGCATGAATGCAGTTTTTATAAAGTCTTAGATTTAAGAATAAAATCCTTCGGATGTAGAAAGCGTGTATCTTTTATCAATTAAGATCCTACGTTCTTCAATATCTTGTATTCTCTTCCATAGTAAATGACCTTCGTGCTGAACGCCAATTTTATTGCATGGTTGCACGCGATAAAGGCAGCATTGTGATCTCGATAGCATCATATGCATTGGCAAGATTACGTGTGTGTTAATTAAATTTATTTCGCGTTTTCCGCAGAGCGAAGCGTGTGATTGCGTGATATAAATATCTTTTTCTATCGCGGGTGTATTTCGCGTATTTGTTCACATATTCGTTGAAACTTTACTCTTTCATTTATGCAGGTTTTATTGATTTTCGTATACGTAGGCATAAGAGATGCACATTAAATCACAATGAATGAGACAGTTCTTGTCATTATGTATTAAGTGAATTAGTTAAAATTGAAACAACAGACTCTTACCCGTAAATCCGGCTAACAGAGTCTAATAATTCGTCGAAAGTTAACAAGTTGTTGCCGAGTTTTTCTTTTTCTTCTTTCTTAATCACTTCCTTAGTCGATTTTTAATGTCCCATTTTATATACGATATTGCGTGATTCTTTTTAACAATCGAAGATCAATGATCAATGATCGAAAATCAATAGTCTTTTAAATTCTGCAAAATTAATACTGTTATATTCAATTCTGCAAATTTCCAGGGGATCGAGGAAAGTATTTTGCGTGCTTCGGCGAACTTTCAAAAGAAGTCTGTTGAACTAATGATATATTTTAATGATTTAATTAAATACAAAATAGATATTAATAATAATTAAAAAGATAACATATTGAAATCAATAATTAAATAATAAGTTCAATACATATTAAATAATTAAATAATTAAATAATAATATATTAATTAAATGTTATAAATATTAAAATAGAAACACATAGGTGTATGGAAATTCATACATCATGTATTACACACATTTTATTCCAGAGAAAGTTAAAAGAATAAAATCTATAGAAAAATAGAAATAAATTGATTTTAAACATTTTTGACAATTTTAGTTTATTGCCTTTAATAGATTAAAATCTTAAGATTGTAAATTTGCTGTTTAAACTTAACTGTTTCTCGCGAACAAATCGGTCGTTCTAACGGAAAAGCTCGGAAACTCAACGGTCATGCTCGAATTTATTGATATTTGCTCGAAAAGCAAAGGGGGAGTTCGCCGTCACACCCGCAAGCTCAACAGTCTTCAAGCGTACAGCTGATCGTGAAAGACCAAACTGAAACGAGCGCATCCGGGTGGATTCCGGGACGACCTTTTTCGAGATTTCTGGCCACCATGAACAAGTGACAAAGGATCAATCGAGCGATCGCGCGAATTTTCCGCGAGTGCATTATATCGAAGTATTCGCCGGAATGTCGTCGAGATAGCGAGACAAAGCTGTTTCTCTTTGCCTCTCTGTCTCTGTCTGAAGAATCGAACGGTCCATTTCCAGATACCGCGCACCCTCTTTTCCCTTCTTGTCCCACTTTTGCCGTAGATGATCGAAAGATCCGAGCTTGCAATCCGAACATACGTCCGCTTCGAGAATTCGACGATTTACGATTTCGAAGATCAAAGGATCTAAAAATATCTGCTTCAGTTAAAAGATAAAATATTCATAAAAATTAAATATCTAAAAATACATATTTTTTCACAAGAAAAGCTCCAAATGTACAAAGTTCTCTAAGCATCCGAAAACCGGCGCACTGTAAGGATTCGACTTGGGAACTTGAATTTTCAATCAGGATTTAGAGAACTGATAACTTTAAGAAAATCTATCAATAAAATATTGCATAATAATTCAGATTTCTAATTAAACATCCGGAATCTATATATATACGAAGATTTAGAAATCGACGCCATCAATCCGTTAAATTTCATTGTAAAGAATCTACTTGAGAATCCTGAAAGATTTTAGGAGCGGTCAAAAATCCACGAGCATTTTTAAGAATTTTCCAGCGAAAAAATGCGACCAAATAATTCGAGAATCCTCGTAAACTCTTTAATAAATCGTGAAATCTCGTAATCGCCGATCAATGTTGATGAAAATCGAAGTATCGACACACAAGAGCTATAGATTGGAAGCTCTTGCCATCGCCGAGACGTTCGACCACGAGAAATCCTTACAATGGCCAGCGAAAAGATATCAGGACGATATAGGTTGGCAAAATGTATAAATTTCGATAAATGTATAAATTTATAAACGTAGACATTTTTTTGTGCTTGGAGCTTCAAATTTTTAACCATATTGAGAAAAACTACAAATATTCAAAGACCTCGAAATTTTCAAACCTTCTATTAGAGGAACATCCTCTTTTGAGAATTCATTCATTTTACCGCAAAACTTGTAAACTATAAAACTGCTTTTCATTTTCAAATTTAAAAAAATTTTTTCCTTTTTTTTATTTTTTAACTCCTCGTAAAAGCGTGTGTTACTTTGCAAGGACATCATTACCAGCTCCGGGTCGTTCCGAAGTAAATCTCTGCTCGGTGACGCTGCAGCTGGGCAAGGACATCAGTAAAACCAGCATGCCAGTCATCTTCAACGAGCCCCTCTCATTCCTGCAACGCGTCGCGGAGTACATGGAATATGCCAAATTGCTTAAACGGGCATCCCAGGAGCAATCGCCAATCTCCAGGCTCCAGGTGCGCGAGAAAATTTTGTCCCCATAAATTAATTAATAACTCAATAATCCGGGAGTATTAATGAGCGAAATTAATAATTTTACAGTATGTCGCGGCTTTTGCTGTGAGTGCTCTCGCTTCGAACTGGGAACGCTTTGGAAAACCCTTCAATCCGATTTTAGGCGAAACGTATGAGTTGGAACGCGAAGACTTCCGGTAATTAACTCCATTCAATTCCTATTTATTGATTTGATATTAATGATTGAAATTACTGTTCAGTACTATATTTAACTGACAATTCTCTATATCATTATTTTATATCTAGAAAAATCAGATATAGCCCTCAGATATCATGACATATTTAAAGGTCATGATTATTGCATAATTGATAATAAATGTAAAAAATTCAATTTGATATATAACATCACACAATTAAAATTATTCTCTTACATAATACTACTTACATAAATCTTTTAATTTTAATAAATATTTTTTGTAAATAATCATATAGATTCTCACAATTTCGAAAACTCAGGCAAATTTCTTTATATTTACTATAGAGATTAATTATGTTTCAACAAAAGAACTTTTTAAATTAAAAAATAGAAATAAAAATTTTAATCTTTTTCTATTTAAAAATTTTTATACTAAAAAAAACTTCTAAATTTTTTTAGGATAATATGTGAGCAGGTTTCGCATCATCCTCCGGTATCCGCGTTTTATGCCGATAGTGAGGATTTCATTTTTCACGGCAGCATCCATCCCAAACTGAAATTTTGGGGAAAATCATTAGAGGTGCATCCGAAAGGAATTGTCACAGTCGAACTACCCAAGTAAGTCCCCGTAATTACGATAATACTTAACTAATTTACTTTATTTATGTATTTAATAATTATTTTCTAATATTAATTGTTGTTAATATATTTTTCTCTGCCTCTCAATTTTAATTATTATTGATGACTAAAAATCAAGAAGATCTCATTAAAAGCTCAATAATTTTTAAAAGCTCATCGAGATATAAATATAATTATTACTATTACTCTTAATTATTATTAAAAATTAAAAAAAAAGAAATGAGAAAATTAGAGAAAGATTCAAAATTTTTTCAAAGTATTTCGATGTGTATGTTAATAATTGTGTTTAAATAGGTGGAAAGAGGCTTACACTTGGCAAAATGTCAATTGTATTCTTCACAATGTTCTGGTGGGACAATTGTGGATGGAACAATCGGGCCCTCTGGAAATCAGACAGCACGGAGGAGACAATTTGAAAGCTAAACTTTGTTTTATCAAAAGCACCCTGAACGGCAAGGATATTCATCGCGTTGAAGGCTTCATAACGGATCAGGAGTAAGATCAAAAAATTTTCAATTAGGTTAACAAAAAGATAACGTAAGCGGAATAAGAAAAAGTTTTACTTGATTAATTTATTTACCATTGTAAATTAAAATAAAACAACCTATCGTTATTGTTCCCTCATATTTTTTCAGAAAAAGGAAGTTACTCTTTCTTTACGGCAAATGGATCGAAATTTTACGATCCTGTGAGCCCTCTTTATACGAGGAAACACTGGAAAAGATTAGAATGGAGGCCAAAAGCCCGCAGGGTAGTCCAGGACACAAAAAAGTCCTGGCGAAACTCCACAGCCTCAAGGTCGGAGCTTTCAAGCCCCTGCATCAGGTATCGAACAATTATCGCTCAACAAATCAATCCATTTCTCCGATTAATTAGATTTAATTTCATTATCAAATTCATTATCAAACATATTGTTAAATTTCATTATCAAATTTGTAGGATGCGATAGACGAGTCTTTAAGCAGTACGGTTGTCGATGACATCCCGATTGTGGACGAGATTCCAGGATCTATCACATTGTGGGAAGTCACACCGAGACCCAGCAATAGTTCGGATGTTGGTTCAATTAAATTGATATTTGAGATATTTCGAGCGATATATTCTTTGTTTCAAAATTCTAGAAATATATATATTACAATAGGTTCTTCGTAATAATAATTATTCTATTATACTAATATATTTTTCTTTAGATTATTTTATATGTTTTTCTTTATAATAAAATATTTTAATAAATTTATGATACAGATATTTACTTGGATAAAGTAATAAAAATAATTTTATTCTATAATATATATATTGAGAGGAACCTTAATTCTGATGCAAAGATATATTAACTCAATGTGATTTACAGTATTATCAGTTTACAACGTTTGCCATGTCATTGAACGAGCTGGAACCCGATATGAGAGAGACCCTGTGCCCGACCGACTCCAGATTAAGGCCGGATATCCGCAAACTTGAGAACGGCGATCAGGATGGCGCCGCGTCTGAGAAAGGTAGACTCGAGGAAAAACAGAGGGACTCTCGCAAAGTGCGCAAACAGAAGAAAGGACACGAATATGTCCCCAGGTATGCATTCCGTTTTAATGAAATATATCTGATATTTGAAGAAAATATTAAAAATACAAAATTGAAAGATTCAAACAATTAAAGATATTCAAAGATGTGGGAATCTTATAATGCGAATTTTAATTTACTATTAATTGTAATTTAAGATTGAAGTATTAGCAATAAATAATTCTTCTTCTGCTAATATGATTCTAATATTAATCTGAGATTTTTTAAAAATAAAAATTATATCGCGATTTAATTAAAAACTCTATATTATAGTTATGGCTTTTAAATATAGTAGTAAATGAAATAATTTAATTAATAATCTCTAATTTCTCAATATGGGGATATCGAAAATGAATTTGCAGATGGTTTCAATCCGGCACGAATCCTTATACCGGTCAGGAAGATTGGATATATCGGGGCGGATATTGGGACCGTAATTACACCGATATCGAAGACATCTTTTAAGAAAGTCCTTCCTTAAATTAACGCCCGGGAGAGAATCGATAATCGGGCGTCTCGTTAGTGCAAAATTATAAATAAATTGCCTAAGAGAACGGGCGCGTAGATCGATAATAGACGCCTTTAGAGATCGATGTCTCTATGTAAAGTAATTAAAAGCGTATCTCGCGAATCTTAAAGCGCGATGAAAATTGGAACTCGACGAGTCATCGGCGAGTACCTTCCCGTGCTCTTCGGCGAATCGTAGATACAATCAAACATTCGAAAATCGATCTGTAAAATCCAGGATTCATAGATTTTGAATGTTTGATTATATTCTCGGTTCACCTCTTCCCGCAAACTTATCCGACACTATTTTTATAAGAAGCCAAATCGAATGATCAGAAAGAGACTATTCTTTTTTTCATAGTATTCCCTGCTTAAAGAAACCCGTAAGAAACGACAGAAACTGATTTGAAATCTATATAAAATGTCTCTAAAATAGAGCGAATCATTTCAGGGGCATTCTGTGTAATTTCGTCGTAAACTATCGTTCCACTATCGGTTTCCCAATCAAATGATTAAATATTTATCCAAACGCTTTTCTATATAAATTATCAACTTGTCAATTCAATCAACAAATTACGTTTCAATGTTTTAATACGTGAGAATCTTAGTTCTCTATTTAAAAATATTCTTGTATATTTATATAAATTATATACGTAATAGAGATATAAAATATCGTATCCTATCGTTTATAAGAATGCAGTCTGAAATTTAGAACGACAAACGAGTATCATCTCTTATCAATCAATGTGCAAACAAAACAGGGAAAGA